TTTATTGGTAGGAACTTGATCCTGGTATATCGTCAGGTGATGATTCTACACAATGGGAATTTCAACTGGTTTACAAGCCAACATTCCAGTTTCAGAAAGAAAATCAAGAACATACTTCCGCTGAGACAAGTAAATACCATCACGAGAACGAGCAACTTCAATGCCTAAGAAGTATTTCAAGCCTCATAGATCCTTCATCTCAAATTCTGATGAAAGATACCTCTGCAGCCTTTTTATCTCTTCTGTGTTATCACCAGTAACTACTATATCATCCACATAGATAATTAACAAAGTAACTTGACCTCACATGCGTTTCATGAACATGGTGTGGTCTGCATTTCCCTATTTATAGTCGTACTTTTTCACTGTTTTAGTGAACCTTCCAAAACATGTTTTGGGTGATTGTTTGAGTCCGTAGAGAGCCTTTCAGAGTCTACATACTTTCCCTGCTTCATTTGGTGTTTCATATCTTGGTGGAAGATCCATGTATACTTTTTCTTCCAGATCTACATGTAAGAAAGCATTCTTCACATCGAACTGTTTCAAAGGCCAGTCTAGGTTAGCTACTAAAGATAAAAGGACTCGAATAATATTCATATTTGCGACCGGAGCAAACGTTTCTTGGTAGTCAACTTCACATGTCTGTGTGTGCCATTTAGCTACCAATCTTCCCTTGTATTTGTTAATGGACCCATCCACCTTGTGCTTTATGGTGAACACCCATTTACATCCCATTGATCTCTTCCTTTGTGGTAGTGACACTACATTCCACGTTTCGTTTCTTTATAAGGCTTCCATTTCTACTCCTATGGCTTCTACCCAACGGGGGTCTTGCAAGGCCTCTTCCACTTTTGTTGGAATTTTAATCCCAGCCATTTGATTCGCCATGACTTGGTACTTGGGTGATAGTCGTTGAGTGGACACATATTGTGCAATTGCATATCTCACTTTTCCTTCAGGAGAAAACTTGTTAGGTGGTTTCCCACGGTTTTGCCTATGAGGTAAAATATAGGAATTTTCAACAATATCTGGAGTATGAGAACGTACCTCTTGGATATCCGCGGGGACATGAACGTGTACTAGTGGAGGAGAATGAGGGTTATTTTCTGTTTGCACAGTCTCAGTATCACTCGCAGACCTATTACCTTATACTGCATCTATAAATGGTGTAGGCCTACTAATTCGACACTGCATGAGCTATCTCTCGATCAGGGGTTTCACGGTCAAGATCTACAAGGCTTTGGCTTGTTATGTCGTTGGCCACTACTAGGCTCTGAACTGCTATCTCGTGGCCTACTATTGGGCTTTGAATTGATGTGTCGCGACCCTCTGGTAAGGCGCGGTCAGGTGGGTTGCTCATAACACCTAAGTCTTTAGTCTCGGTCTGGGCTGTACTACTAGGACCATGCCAACTGCCTCGTTCATGTGGAACATCAAACCAACTGTAGTCTTCGTATTTACTATTCAACTCTTCCTGAAGAGTACAATGGGTTTGAACAGAGATGAAAAACATCTCGGTTTCAGAAAACGTGACATCCATTGTGACATAGAATTGCTTAGTAGATGGATGGTAACATCGATATCCCTTTTGTTGGCTATTAAATCCCAGAAATACACAACGAACAACACATATATCTAATTTACTTCGTTGATTGTTGTGAAGATGCACATAAGCCACACATCCAAATATGCGAGGTGATAATTGGAGAGAAGAAGGTAGAGTGACATAATCCGTCAAAATTTCCATGGGAGTTCGGAAGTTGTGAACTTGAGAGGGCAATTCGATTAAGAAGATAAACGGAATACGTAACTGCATCCACCCAATAGGCATGAGGAACATGAGCCCCAATTAGAAGTGCCCGTGTAGTTTTCAAGATATGTCTGTTCTTAAGTTTTGCCACACCATTTTGTGGAGGAGTTTGAGGACAAGTAGTCTCGTGAAGTATGTCATGCTCTGCGAAAAATTATGGTAGTTCAGAATTAAGATATTCTCCACCATTATTAGATCTCATGACTTTGATAGGAAGAGAAAATTGATTTCCAATATCCGATAAAACTGTTGGAAAATTTGCCCAACGTCACTCTTTTGTTTCATGGTATAGAGCCAAGTCATTATGGTGCAATCATCTACAAAGGTAACAAACCACTGAATATCATGGCGTGTCGCAATTGGTGAGGGACCTCATACATCAGAGTGAATTAACTCAAAGGGCACTGATCTTTTATTGATACTCAAGTGGTAAGAAGTACGATAACTTTTTGTAAGAATGCAATCCTGACACTGAAAATCAGAGTTTGAAACGCCATTAAATAAAGACTAAAGTAATTTTCTTAAATAACCAAAAGATGCATGTCCTAGTTGCCGATGCCATAACCAGATTCTCTTAACCTTGTTGTTGTGACCACTGCTCACTTGGTTGACTCGGTTAAGTAGTGAAACAAGGATTCATCATATGTCATATGGTCTGTAGCCCCAAAGTCAATTATCCATCCAGAATCTTGGTTAATGAATGCTGTGAACGCAGTGCCAATTTTACTTAGATCATCGGATTGTTCTTGGGACGAAATCAAATTTAATAATGAAAGCTGCTGGCCTCTATTGTCTGGGTCCCAACTGTTTTCCAGAACGCTATCTTCTGATGGGCTCGGCATGCCCATATGGTTGATGCAATCGGTTCTTGTGCTGATTGGCCCAACGGTTAACTTAGCGTCAGTCCTCACGTTGCCTACTTGCTTCCCCATTGAACTTTGGGCTTTAGGCTTAGCCAGCCCATTCTCCATCTTGCTGATAATCGGCCCGGCTTGGCTGTCTGCCATTAAGGCAGCAAGTTGCAGCGGTTTGATTAAGGTCTCCATGGTTTGGTTTTTCTTCTATATTTCCTTTTGGTGTGGATCTCTTGCTTTGAGACCACACTACTTGTTTGAGGATGGTTTTGTGTGTGTGTATATATATATACATATATTATTTTTTTTTAAGCCAACAAAAAAATAGTTGGCAGTTAAGGTAAAAGACTAAGAGAATGAGACATGTCGAAACCTGCTATGATGCCAATATAAAAGTGTTTAGGGTTTGAATTGTATGTTTATTCTTCTCTCAATAAGGTAAATATATAGTTGTACAATATCTCACATACCAAGAAATAAGAATCCCAATTATACAAGGAATAAATTATAGGATTACATTCCTAAACTAAATGGTTGACTCACGCCAACAGAAAGGTAGTGGCCACCATTAGTTTTAACAGCAAGGCCTACTATTCCATTAGATTTAATGGAATTCAGCAATGAAAAAGGTATATTCTATTATCCTTTTAGATTCTCATCGATGATCGCGCATGCACTGGCAACGGCGAGCACGGTGGTGCGCTCCTCGACGCGTGACACCATTGTAGCGGCTCATGGTGGAGCGTGTGCTGCTGCACGTGCAGGACTTGAGGCCTAACATTAGGTTGTTCGATGTTTTGAATCACGTGGCACCTTCCATTTGTGCTAATTCGATGTCTAAATAGTAGTTTTAGACGATACTTTGTAGATTCTAATTTAAAGCTTATAGTAGCTTTATAATGAAATCACAGGTGACTTTGAGATTAAAAGGGAGTTAGGCAATGAGCTTATTGAGGATGGGCGCTCTGTTTACCTTTGAGTGGTTTCTTTCAAAACTCTATGTTTTAAAGTTATTATTATATGTTGATGCATATGAATATTATTACTATTAGTCTTTGAGGAGACTTATATCTAATTAACTTACGTTGATATCTTGAGTCCATTGGTGATTTATTTTCACCGTCATCATACACATTGTTGAGCAAAAATTGTACACCATATGTAAACAAATAATTCACTCGACACAATTTCACCCTCGTTCATTTTTTTTAAAAGGGTTTTATTAATTCAAGTTTGACCCATTCTAGGCTACGCGCCTATTAATTACAACCTTTCTTTTGGGAAAGGAATACCCTTTGATTCTAATATGAATAAATTGTAACTTGAGGATTTGGGTGTTTATTTGATTTTGTGACTGCGTCTAGATAGAGCCCTAGATTGCCTACATACCCTCGTTGAGGGATCAAGTCACTCGTAGTTCCTTATGTGTTTTGTTGGGGTTTGATGCCTTGTGCAGTTTCAGCTCGTGCAGGCAAGGAGCAGCTGATGCCTTGTGCAGTTTCAGCTCATGCAAACGAAGACTTTAAGCCGTTGGAGCATTTGATGCCTAGTGGAGTTTTAGCTCATGCGGGCGAAAACTTTAAGCTGTTGGAGCATTTGATGCCTTGTGCAGTTTTAGCTCATGCAGACGAGGACTTTAAGTCGTTGGAGCATTTGATTCGGCTTCATGCCATTTGAGATTTTTCTTGAACTTTATGCCTTTTGGGATTTGACGCGGCTTCATGCCATTTGAAATTTGACGTGGCTTCGTGCCATTTGTAATTTGAAACAGTTTTATACCATTTGAAGCGGCTTCGTGTCATTCGTAATTTGAACCGGCTCACTTCTCTTTTACTTTTCGTAGAATTTGTAATTACTTGGTCAAAGTAACAGAAGTGAATTTAGTTTATATAAATCAGGGATTCGTCTTGATTTCATGGTTGCGTCTATAATTTGATATCAGACTACTTACGTATCCTTAACGGAATCAAACCAGCGTAGTTCATAAATTATCTCCATATTTTTAGGAAACAATGATGTTTTTCAATCTTTGGTGTCATAGAGCCACTGCCGTGAGTTTTAATCCATGGACCATGCACATAATACTCACGTGAGTAGGAAGTTTTTTTTTTAGGAGCTTTTATTTCCCTCTCTTGACGTAACTTTTCCTTTCTTTATTATATATATTTGTAGTGTTTGGATCAAACAGGCTCATAAGATGGAAAAAGACATATGGCAGCCCTATCCTTTTTTATTATATATACTTTTCTTTTGATTTTTCGACCTCATTCAGTATAGGTCCTTGAACCCATTTGACCCACCAAACTCCTGACAACAAACTTTACTTTCTCTCCCTTTTTTTATGTGACTCTTCCAAGTCTAAAAACTTCTCTTCTTTTCTATATGACCAAGCTCCCACGTGAGGTGCAGCTTTATTCATTCCTCTCTCTTGCGAAAATGGCCTCAGAAGTCCTCATTTTCTTGACTCTAAATTCCGGTGGCCTTCCTCTAGAAGCAAAAGGCAGCTCCGCAATACTTGGGCTCCTAAAGATTTTGTAATGTTTTGAAATTCTTTTCAGGTTTGTCAGCCGATGAATTCCAAAATGAATAAGGGTAAGATTGGTAAAGTTTGAACTCTTTTGAATTGCTCCAATTTTATCATATTTTCCTCCTAAATCACAGAGGCTTCTTATGTAGGTTACATATTTCTTTTCTTTCTGCTGCCTCAGCTCTTCACCACTTGCTTGTCCTCTTTTTGTGGCTCGAATTCAAAGCAAAAGAGGAAGAAGATAACCAGTAGGTGACCCTGTTTTCATTTTTCTGTGTTCTGAATTTGATTCGCAGTGGGTTGAAGCTCTGAACTGTGACTGATTGGTTTAATTAATTCGTGCAGAAGTAACAGAATCTCTTTGATTGGTTGTTTGGACAAACTATTTTGCAGTACTTTGAAAACAAGTGTTGATTCATGGCTCCAAAGATGGGAATTTGCACTCATAAATTCGTAGTAATGCATCCCTCGTATCTGCTGCATTTTGAATGAGTTTTGATGTATTAGAGTGTAATTACTCTCTGGCATTTCTGTTTCCTCAGGGGAAATTATTTGACTGGTCTTGACAGTGGGCATTTGGACACCCCTTTTGTGTTCCCATTTATGTTTTGTCTTTGATACTTGCCATGCTTTTCTTGTTAACACTTGTATAAAGTGATGTTTTTCCCAAAATTTTTGTAGTCTTGATTTATCTTCTAGTTCTTTGGGGTGTTTGCCATGTGAATGAGTTTCCCAAATAATTTGGCAGCAAACTTTTCCTTCTTTATAAACTTGGAACAGCAAGTGTCTAATGCAAAGGCTTGAAACATTTTTTATTTTAATCTTCACGTGAGAGAGAAGCTTGGGACGGCATAGAAGATGGAAACTTTGAACCCTTTTTTTTTTGTCCCATCTTCATGTGGCAGAGAAGTAGGTGAACATTTTTTACACAATGAAAATCTTTGTTCCATCTTCACGTGGCAAAGAAGGCTTTGAACCAAGCATGAGTTGGTCAAGTGGTATTTTTTGGCTTCTTTTCCTTTGTCTCTTTGTCAACATATGCACCTTTTCCTTTGTTCCTGTGTCTCTTTTATCCAAAATGATAGCCACACTTAAATTCTTCAAAAGACATCTTCTTCCTTTTCCTTTTTCTGGAGTAATCTTTGAAGTCTAGGATATCAGCAACTAAACACCTTTTTAGAGCATATTGCTTCTACTTTTGCCAATAAGCTCCTGCACTGTTGTTGATTGAATAACAAAAACAGATTGTGGTTGATATTTGGAGTCGAAACTTTGTTATTTCTTTATCAAATCTATTGCTTGCCATGACACCAATGGTTTCTTCTTTCTTGGGGTGGATGATGAATACGGATTTCTTAGACTTGATTGGAACTTCACGGGGTGGTTTAGGCCACCCCAAAGAAATTCATGGGATTTTGGAGATTATTTCTGCTGCTGTCAGTGGGGACTTCAGATCATCTTCTTCATTTCTCTTTTAAATGTTGCAATTTTCTTGTATAAACTGAAGGTTACAAACTCTAGGTAACTGATTACTCCCTATTTTCGTCATTTTTGTCTGCAACACAACATCAAACAAGAGAAATACATAAATTAATAGAACTTATTTCATACCTGGTGATGAATGTTCTTTTTTTGGATCTTGATTCGAAAGCACAAAGGATCAAACTGCTTGCTCTCTTTTTTGGCAGCACCTTGTTCTCTCAAAGTTTCTTTATTTTTTCTGCAGAGTTTCCCCTTTCTTTTCTATTTTTTTCCCTTGCTGTAGTTGATGCCTATTTATAGGCGTCCCAAGAAAACTTTAGAATTTGTTACGTGGGGGATGATGGAGGCCATGACCTCCTATCACTTTCCCTTAACTTCTCCCACTAACTATGCATTTTTTTCCATGCTTTGCAGAAAAATAGGTTTTGCACAGTTTCTTCCCCCTTTTGTAGGAAGACATTTAGATTTTTTTTTTTAATTTACTTATGGATGTTAATTTGTATGTAAAGCCCATCCTCGTTTTTTTTTTGCTGGATTACATTTTTGTTTTGCCCTATAATTTGACCCAATGTGTATGGACTCTATTTTTTTTTTTTTTTGGTTGTTCAACACATATCGTATAGCTAGCCAACCTCCCTCTCTCATTAGTATAAAAATATCGATGTACTTAAAAAAAAAAATTGACCTGATAATGATCAAATTAGTTAAATGTTGACCTAAAATTCATTATTTTCATATAATTTTGAGTATGATTAATAGGTTGTGTAAATAATTGCCAGATTTAGTATCAAATGATTCAAATACACCTACCTACATCTACATTTATTTATTATCCCAAATTACCTATATTTCATTACCTCTGCGATAGGTAGACCTGGCATTCGTGTTGTGTTTTCTATGTTCGTGTCGTTTTCATGTCATACCCGATATCTTAACGGGTCGTGTCGTGTAACACCCGTTAAAATAAACCGGTAAAATGACCCGACCCGTAATCGACCTGATAATATTAATGGGTAATATGACCCGATCCGTTACCCGTTAAGGAAAATATATTTTAAATTAATAAATAATCAAATAAAAAACATAATAATTTTTTTTAGTGAAAGAAAAAGGTTGCACGCACACCTAGTGAAGTGGGATTCGACTCGAACCCACAATTTCTTAATTAGAACCAAAACACAAATCAAGCTTCTAGTCCCAAAACTCATATTTTATTAGAGCCAATCTGTGTACACCAATTTAATTCACACCCATACCCCTGCTTCCAAATAGTCATACTATTTGTTGGTATGGTCTCTCGTAAAATAATTGGTAACTTTATTCTGTCTGTTTAATTTTTGCATTTATCAAGGTACCATAAGTGACGAGGCAATACAGTATACTCCATAATCCATATGCAGCATAGCAAAAGCCATCTTGTAATTACAGTGGCTTGCCTGGAGGCTGGAAGTGGACGGAGAATATGCGCCCGCCTGCAATGTTTAACCAAAACAATTGATTATAGTTAGACCTGTAAACGGGTCGGGTTTATTGGGTTTGAACTCGACCCGTTAAGTTAACGGGTCATCCGAACCCAACCCGTTAAGCTAATGGGTCACCCGAATCCGACCCGTTAAGCTAACGGGTCACCCGTTTCACCCGTTAACAATTATTATTATTTTTTTTTACATAAAGTTTATTTTTTGTTATTAAGACTTTACTAAAATTACTAAAATATCCTCAACTAACGGGTGCTAACGGGTCTAACGGGTTGACCCAAAGTGATCCGTTATTTAACGGGTTGTTAACGGGTTCACCCGTTAGCGACCCGACCCGTTAAGTATCCACCCAAATACAAATATTAACGGGTCGGGTCGGGTTAACGGGTTGGATCCAAAATGCCAGGCCTAATTATAGTCATCCTAAAAATATGTGGCCGGCTTCGCCTAGTATGTCAACAACAAGAGCTAATATGAAATTTACCCATTAGAAACCAAGGCCCTATGTCATTCGCAGAGTGATGGGAGAAATCTTCACGAGTAAGAAAAATAAACAGAGGACTTACTGTACAGGCAACTGTACAACTATAGATTCATATCCATCCAACAGATATCCATAAATGTAAGTCATTTATCAAGACTTCTAAAACCGACATCTTCAATCAGTCCTAAAACCTCAAGCAGTTCAAAGAAATGTAGCACCAAAATCTAACAAACTCTTATAAGGTATACCAGCACACGCATACATACAAGATCAAATTTAGCTGCAGAGAACACTAGCAAAAATACTCATCAAGTAATTTTTGAAATTTACGGCTTTAAAAGCAATCAAACTCATGTACTTAACAAGCAGTAAACACACTCAGCAAACGAAATGCAGAAACTCAAATACCCCTTGAGCAGATTTCAACAGAAAAAGTAAACAAAAACATTGCCATATCAGTTAACAAGTCAAATAATCCAGAATCGGAGAATCCCCATATCAGAAAAAGTAAACAAAAACATTGCCATATCAGAAAAAGTAAACTCAAATACTGCTTGATATCAGTAGCTAAAATCCAGAATCCCCATATCAATTAACAAGTCAAATAATCCAAACTAAAATCACTGCATTTTGGAACTAATAAAAAATTGTCAGATTTAAAAAACAAAACATGGGTTTTTTTTTTTTAAGAAATGAAAATTCGTAATTTCGAATGAAAAAGAAGAAACAAAAACATAAGATTTATGAAGATACAACATTAAACAAATGAAAAGAACACAGAAAGTGTCTATATATAGTGATATAAAAATACCCAAGTACGTAAATCAGCGTAGAAAGAGTGAAGAGAGAGCAAGGTTGAAGAGGGAGAAATACTTACACATAAGTGGTTGTACGAATGGAGGACAAGAAGATCGTGGCCGTCGGATTAGAGCTTTTTGGAAGAACAGACGACAGGAGAGAGAGGCTAGGAAGAACAAAAGGCGCCGCGGCGGGTCGGGAGAGAGGGTACGAGAGTGGGGAGAGAGAAAGAAAGAAAGGGATTAGAATTTAGGGCTGGGCGCTAGCTTCTGATCAAATCAAATGGAAAAAATTGGAAAATAATGGAAAATATAAGGGGCTTTTTTGTCCAAAAAAGTTTTAATAATATAAATGAAATAGAATCTAATGATAAAGATTTATTCTCATTTATCTAACGGCTGTTATTTAAGTAAAGTCTTTAATAGTTTTTTAATTAATGTAGAAGTATAAAAAATATAGAAAAATATATAAACGCTTGTAATGACAAACTTTACAACTTTTGTGAAGAGCTTAACTTCGAAATTCGCCACTATAATCATATAAATCATAGATCAAAATTTAACCATTGATTGTTGTTTACATTTACGCTTCATTTTTCTCATCAAATTTTATTTTTTCAAATTTTATTTTTTGAAAACATGATCTATTAGAGGATGCAAGAAGATGAATGGTTTGGATCGTTGATATTATGTTCAAAGTTTTATGGTTAGTGAAAATATTGCTTGATATTTATAAAGTTTCTACAAACTATATAACATCGACTCATATTTCAGTTAACCGTAAATATTGAAACGTGATATCAAAGATCTGAACATTCATCTTCTTACATCCACCAGATGATTATGTTTTCAAAAAGGAAAATTAAAAAAATGAAATTCAGTAACAAGAATAAAGCGTAAATGACAATAGACGGTCAAATATAAATTTAAGGTTTATGGATTATAGTGTTGGATTTCGAAGCTGACCCTTTCATGAAAGTTGTAAAGCTTGTCATTATGAGTGATTGTATATTTTTTTTTTACATGTTTTACACTTCTACAATAATTATTATTAATTTTATTAATTTTTCCCTCAAATAAAAAAATATTATTCATGAGGTTTGGAGGATTTTAAAAATCTAAACGATAATGTAAGTGTAACCACTATCTACTCGTGGAGAAATAATGATGAATCACAAGGGTTTATATATTCTTTCACATTTTTCATACTTGTATGTATGTCTTCTTAGTTCTTGCCCATACAAATACTATACTAGTTTATTTTAATTTTGGACAACAACATGTTAAGTAAAATTTATCCTAGTAATGATAATAAGAAACTCTCATAATAAAAATAAATAATGACTAAAACTTTTTTTTAAACTCATATAGAATAATAATACAAAACTATATATATTTAATATAGAATATATTGTATATATTAATATGGCTATTGCATAAACATGATCTAAAAGATTTATAATAAATCTTTTAGTAATATGGCTATTGTATATATTGTATATTGTTATACAGAATATATTGTATATATTAATATGACTGTTGTATATATTAATATGGCTATTGTATATATTGTATATACTAAAAGATTTATAATAAATCTTTTAGTAATTAAACTTTAAAATTATCAAAATAATTTTTTTTCTTAACAGGTCGAAACGGGTCATCCACGTGTTATCCGCTTGTATACCTGTTAAGAACCTGTTAATAATGGGTTCTTAACGGGTTCTTAACAGGTCACCCGATAATGATCCGATTAGTTATCGTGTTGACTCGAAACCCATTATTTTCGTGTCGTGTCATCATGTCGTGTCAGAAATTGCCAGGTCTAGCGACAGGTATCAAAAGATTCCAAAATCATCGTTACGTGTGCATGATGTTAGCAGTGATGTCAAATTTAAGAGGGAAGCGTGAACTACGGCGAAAGAAACAAACACACATATTATACAAAGATCACAAATAGAATTTGTAAAATAAAAAAAAATCACAAATAGAATTGTTTAAAGAAGCATGAAAGGTTTTCTCAAAATATAAAAGGCAACAGAAACAAACAAACAAACAAATATAAAAAAAAACGGTTAATCTCAGTTTATTACCATAAAATTTTGTGGTTTTCAGCATTTGGTACATGAAATTTTTTTCATCCAAGAGTCATACCTCAAGTTCCAATTTTCGAACAGTCTTATACATTCGTTAAGCTGATTATTAAGTCAGCCATTAACTGATGATGTGGCGCCCATGTAGAGAATTATAGGGCCCACATGTCGTTAAGGGTCCATGTGGAACTAAAAATAAATAAAAATTAATAAATTAAAAAATTAAAAAAAAAAGAAAAAGAAAGGTGGGGATAATTGCTTCCTCTCTCCTCGCCCCATTTTCTCTCTTCTGCAAATCTTAGATCGATGGAAATGCAACTTTGGTGGTTCTGGCGGGCTGCAAGGGGTGGTTAAGAAAGCGCGAGCTTGCCACAGTTGAGCAGCAACAAGTGCGGGTCTTGGTGGATCGGGGTTGGCTGGGTGGTTCAGGCAGAAAAGAAATGGTTGGGATCTGGGTTGGTGAGTTTGGCGTGCCTACAGCTTTGCCCAGCTCCGCTGTTGCTCGGATTAAGGAACAAGAGATGAAAACCCAATGAGTGGGATTTGGCCATTGAGTGAAGAGATGAGCGGGATTTCTCTGGCCTTCACCTTCATCCCCAAATTTTTGCAATTTTTTTTAGGGGTAAGAATAGGGAAAACACTGGAAATTGGAATTGGAAAAAATTTAATGGGAAAACTCCATGGACAAAGAATTCGAATTCTTGGGAGCAAATTGGGTCGATAGGCTTATCATTGGGCACACTATATTTTCCCTTTCAATTCCTCCGTCGGTTGCCGAATCAATCTCCGCCCAACCATTGCCAGTGGCAGTAATAGGGAGGGCGACGATTACGCGGTCCACAAACCTCCATGGAGGGTTACAAGGTTGCGAGGGCAAGGGCTGATGAGGATTTGAGATTTGAGGAGAGAGGAAAAGGGACAAGAAGAGAGGAAGCAATTATCCCCACCTTTTTCTATTTTTTGTTTTTAAATTTATTAATTTTTTAAGTTTTTTTATTTCCACGTAGACCCTTAACGAATGTGGCGTCCTGTCATTCTCCACATGGGCGTTACGTCATCAGTTAACGGCTGACTTAACAATCAATTTAACGGATGTATGAGACTGTTCGAAAATTGAAACTTGAGGTATGACTCTGGGATGAAAAAAAATTTATTTACCAAATGTTGAAAACTACGAAACTTTAGGCTAGTAAACTGAGATTAAAGAGAGAAAAAAAAAAGCACAAATAGAAACACAACTCTCTCCGTCGTGAGCCCCATCAACTTTATCATATTCACACCTAATTCACGTACCTACACCACCAAAAATTCCAAACTCAATATATTAACAAGAAGGGGCATTTTTTTTTTCAAGTAAGCAGTATTATGTAGGGTAAAGAAATGAGTTAAGCTTCACAATTGGTAAGCCATAATAATGTAGTCTAAATTCTCACTTGGCAAACAAAAACAAAACCTAAAACCTCTCATTTACAAGTAAAAATAAATACAATTGACCGCAATAGACTTACAAGTCAATGGTCACATTGTTCTCAATTATTCTCCACAATTTTCCTTATAAATATTCTTTTTCTTCCTTGCATTCATTTCATCAAACATTAAAATCCCTAGAGCAACCATGGCATTAGACACCCAAAGCCACCGCAGCAGTAACCACCACTACAACGACCACCATAAACTGATCAAACCACCGCATGTTGCCATCGTCTCAACTTCAGGCCTAAGCCACCGCATGTTGCCATCGTCTCAACTTCAGGCCTAAGCCACCTCATTCCCCTCGTCGAGTTAGCCAAACGACTCATCGTCCAGTGATAGGATTTTTACTACTCATGTGAACGGGCTTAACTCTCCTATTTTACTTGCAAGAATCACAAGGTTATTGTAGTATAAACGGATTTCGCAAGGTCATCTTCACAGGGATTATTAAATAATTCGAACTAATCAGATTCCATTTAATTATTGTAAAATAGAAATTGAAGTGATTGATTTTATAACCTAATTAAAATAAAAACGAATTTAATGAATTAAAAATAAACAATCTGCAATATTAGGATTAGAGAGAAGAAAACAGTTTTGAGAAAATCAAATTAAGAAAGCACTAGGGTTCCACCATCACCTAGCAATCCTATGAATTTTTACCAATTACTTATGATCTACACATGCCACTTTGAAGGTTAGATTTTCCTAATTCATATTCTACTTGGAACCTCCAACATAGAACGTATATCTAACATGCAACCCGTCCGGACGTTCGGATCAAATCTAAACATGAAAGACTCATTATGCTTTATGAAAATCCTTTGAAAAACCATGCAATCCTTATGACGTGATATTCATCTTAAGAGAAATTACAATTATTAATCACAAGAAGCCAGCGTCAATTTCAGGGAACCTTCCGACCAAAATTGCATCAAATTACTTTTCTAAAGATCCTAATGGTGATCAGGCATTACGACAATTAGATAGTTTTTATCCCGGTGATTAACAATTCAAAGTACGCATGCAATCGATCATAAGCAATTAAATAAAAAATCACATATTCATGCTAAGGCTCAAGGCTTCGCCCTAGCAAAAGAAATTAGTTCCGCATATTCATAATTGAAATCATAGAAATATCTCTTAAGAAAAGGATTGAAAACACCTTCAAGTAGAAAATCTTCAAAACCCTAACACTTCTCTGTCTCCAATATTGCATAAAATAAAACGTCCAGAAAAACTATAGACGGCCAAGCAATATATATGCCAAGCCTCTCCACAAACCCTAGGAAACATAACCCTAAATTAAATGATAAAATTCGTCTAAAATCTGAACAGCCACGTTTTGACCCATAAGCTGCTCCAAAACTGGCCCAATATAGCTGGATTTAATGTTTGGGATATTCTGAACACTTTTCCAGAAGGCCACGAACCCATCCGAGGTCATCTTGGGCTCCAAAAACGCAATTTAAGCCCAAAAACGTCATTTTCCAGCACTGCGCACTGCTTCTTTATTTCATCGTCAGAAAATAACCGCTTGGTGGAAAAATCCCAATTTTTGATACGATCAAGCTAAGTGACTCACGAACGTCCTCCAACTGGAATTACTCCAAAATTCGTCCATTTGATCCTGTTTTGCTCCAGAGGAAGTCGAAAGTCCTATATTAAAAATACAATTCAAATTATCAAAAATTTTCCAA